GTGTTCAAACTCAAATAATTCCTTCCCTCGAATGAGTTCAAATAGCTCATGTACTCATTAATGGACTCAACGTCTTCAACTGTGGTAGCGAATATGGCTCTGTTCTTGAGATAGCTAAAATCATCGCCTGAACTTCTAAACATCAGGTTCAGGTAGGTCCCCTTGTGATGTTAGAAGAATATCGTCGAGAATGTCGCTATCGGCACAACCATCGTTCAATCAACCGACTGTACCGTTGTCAATACTTGCAAGCCACTTTGAGAAGCGCCTCAACTCATCATACTCATTGCACCCACCAAAGCTTCAAACCTCATATTCCGAGTCAGTATCAGAACGACACAGTCGCGCCATATATATTAAGTAGATCCACTACAAAAAATATCAATTTTAACTAGACATTTACCTAGATCTTTTGTAGGTAAAGTGCTTGCTGGTAAATTTTAAATTCCATTATTATATGGAACCATTAAACTTACAAAAAAAGTTTTATTTTGTTTAATATAAAAAATCAGTCAAATCATGGATATGGACTGATGTATAGCGGTTAATTGAGCATGATTTGTGTTTCAACAAATGGTAGTTAGAGAGGGGGGGTCAAAAATAAAATTTTGGTTCATGGACGTACAACGTGACACAATATAACAGAATTCATGAGAATCAATGTTGAACAGACTTGATTTTATCAGTTAGGTAGTATTTGTCGTCAATAAATGAAAATTGAAAAAACAAAAATAGTTTGCTTTGACTAGTCAAGGTAACAAGTTGCAACGCTTGTATCTCAAATGTCCATTTTTCTTAATGATAATAATAATGCAAAAAGAAAATGAGGATTTATTATATTGGTTAAAAAAAAAAAATAATGTTAAACAATTGAGAGGGCCTCCGATCCTCTCAGCAAAATGTCTAGGTAACCATTAATTTTTATTTTTTTTTTGTACAGGGATCTTCCGGTTTCCGGATTCATATGGGAACCGACTAATCTGGAATCGAGCCGGGTGGAAAGGGCGGCAAAGCTCTCCCTCAAAAGTTTAACATTGCTGCATTCTCAGGGCTCGAACACGAAACCACTGGTTAACCATTAATTGAATCCAAATAAATAGCATTGATTAATGGCAGTTTATGAATTGACGACACACACTACATTCTCCAGCTGACTCTTACTAAATCGTCTTAAGTAGTACTAAACTAATTAATAGCTAGGTTAATCTCATATCATTAAGTTCTAATTGCGTTTTTTTCTGCTGGCATGTCCTTTGATTAGCTTATTAATTAGTACAACATTTACGCGTAATCTTAATTGCACCTCTCTCGTTATCTTATTTCACAACCACTGATGCTAGCCTAACGCTCAAAATTAATCTATATATATATATATATAATTGGTGGCTTATAGCATTTAATAAAACATATTTAATAAAACCTCTAAAATTTTCCTTCCATTTTCGGTTACAAAATTTGTCATTAATATTTTTTTACTTTTCACCTTAATACATCTTAATGAGTGTAATCATATATGTTTCTTTTATATTTTATAATAGTTATTACTAATGCCAACTAATAATAATTCACAATAAATATAAATTACATAATTATAAACAATTGTTTCAAGTTATGCATTTTAACATCAATATTATCTTTTTCATTTGTATCTCATGAAAAAAAATTCTTTAAAAACAGTTAGGAAATTGTTTTAATAACATAGTTAAACAACTTTAGAATCTTATAAACAATTGTTTTTTAATAATAGCATTTAATTTTACCTATTTAATAAAACCTCTAAAATTTTTCCTCTATTTTGAGTTACAAAATTTGTCATTAAAATTTTTTTTACTTCTCACATTCACACATCCTATTAAGTGTAATCATGTATTTTTCTATTATATTATAAAATAGTTATTGCTAATACCAACTAATAATAATTCACAATAAATATAAATTTAGTAACATCAATATTATCTTTTTGTATTTCATGAAAAAAAATTTTAAAAACAATTAGTAAATTGTTTTAATAGCATAGTCAAACAACTTTAGAAGCTTATAAACAATTGTTTTTTAATAATAATAATAATCAAACTGTTAATATCTAATGATAGTAAACAATTGTTCATAATAATAAAATCGTTAATTTATTTTTCCTAATGATCAAATTTTTGAAAATGTAATATGTTCATTATCTAAAATTTTAATATTAAATTGTCAAATATTACTTACTAATATTTTATGTACATCTGTGCATTTACACATGATATCTACTAGTTATTATTTAAGCGGATGGTTATCAACCTAATTATAGAATAGCAAGAATATAATTTTACACTTAGTAACTTTTAAAGTTGGTAATCTCTTTATATAAGTAAAAATTATGATAGGGATTTCATTTTTTTTTTTTTTTCGGGAAAACAAAGATTTTGTAGAACAATAAATTATTTTTATCTAAAGAACAATAATTAATTTTAATGTAATAGAAAAAAAATAATAATTGATAAATTTAAAAATTTGAACGGATGAATACTAAATTTACATACATTTTATATAGTAATAATAATTTTTTTAATATAAAAATTTTATATACAAAATAATTGATAAGAAAAAAATTAAATTCAAATGAATCAATTATGTCTTTCCCATTTACTGGACATAACTGGTAACAGCGACAAGTGGTTTGCGGATAGCTTGTCTTATCATTTTCACTCAACAGCCCAATTCACATGATATTTGTTTGTTTATACGTTACAGCTACTTTCTGCCGCATACTTGTCAAGCTTGGACTAAGCCCAAATACAAGCCCATTCTGTTATGGAACCCAAAGGCCCAAACCCCTGCCTGACATTGATCACCATAAATAAATAGTAAATACACAGCAACAGCCTACAAACAGCTTTTGATTATATACAACTCTATGTACTTGCTAATTTTGATAGAATTTTAGTGTCCAACAGCTAAAACACAAAATGATCAAACCTGAAAATAAACCTCGCAAATTATCAGGATATTCGTCATCACCAATGTAGGAAAATCGACAAATCCATGAGCCCCAACACGTTTTTATCAGTTTTCACTTTTACCAAAGAGTGGCAAAAGCTGCTTCTCGAACTCCAGTAGGCTGTAATAGTTGCGCAGCATAATAAGTTTTTTAAGTAGAGCCAAATGAATAAATCGCTTTGTTCTGATCAAACTAAATAAGGAAGTCGGGCTTTTTTTATTTTTTTCCTTACATCTCATATTTATGCTGAGCCTCAACACGTTTCGCTTTATACAGCTCACTGTCTTTAGGGATACTGTTCATGTTGTTGCCTGTGTCAAATATGTCATTTTCAGATCAAGCACATGGAAAATGTTCCACAAGTTCTCAGGCTGGGAATAATTATATAAATGAACTGAACAGAGTACAATATCGAAGGGCCAAAATTGACAGCTTTGCCCCTGGCATGATTCGACTCATGAATCAAACGTAAGAACGAAACAGGCATCTTGAAACGTCTATTCCAATAAATACATATGCAATCGGATTATTACGCATGCAAGAAAATGTAGAAAATATGGTTTCTGACTAATTTACAATATAACAGGACAAAAGAAATCGAGAAAATGGTTATTAATCCTGAGAATTTAGAAGCTAAAATGTCTTTTTTCTTTTACGGGTCTCGCCATGTATGGTTCATGTATTTCTTGAACAAAATCATATATGGAATTAACACGGTAAGCACAAGCTAACTTTGATGAATCAATTGTATATTCATGTTCAGCACACAAATTCGTTAGAGTTCTGTAGTATTTACGTAAAAAAAAAGTTAAATTAGATTACCGTTAGGTGAACCTGGAGTTTTGTTTTCAGCCCTGAATTTCTCCTTCAGAGGTATTTTAGCAACAATCAATCCCTGTTTAATTGAAATGGAAAGGTGAGTTTAAATTAACTATTTAAAGCAGATCTGTGATTATAAGTTCTGACAAGTGATTACTATGATATAACAACCAAAATAGAATAGTAAAATTTCAAGACCAAAACCAAACAAATACTTAAAAATCCATACAAAACCAAGATAAAACGGACATGTCAAGATTCGGAGCAATACTATAAAACCCTCCAGACGGGTATGATATTCGGGAATGATCAAAGACAAAACTACAGATGATTTGAGATTGAACATAATACTTCACTCAATTAACTAATCAACACTAGAGGCTGTAAGAAAAACAAACTGCAAGTTTTACCAACAAACACCCAAATGTATAATGATTGCTAACCAACACTAAACTAATGGTATAGTGATTGCTAATCAATAATCAAAATCCAGGATTTGCAATATTTTTAACCGGAAAAACCTTAGCCCGAGAAAAAAAGCATCCTTCCCGCCACAAGCCGAGACGCAATTCGTTTTTCCAGAATTGCAAAAACCTCCAAATTCCCACAAAATGCCCACATTTGTTAGTAGCTAAAAAGTTCCCTTATTCACCAAACCACAAACTCCCCAATATCACCTCCACATTGCCACAA